CGTGCTGGCATTCGTTGTGGGGCTGATGCAACGGAAGATCGGCCAACACCGCTTCGCAGACCAGAAATTGCTGGAGCTCATAAAGGGCGTCCAACAGCAAGGCCATTCGCCCGCAACGCGGATAACCCACTTCAGCGAACAGCAGACCTTTGGCGAGCAGCAGGCGCAGCCGACAGTCCTACCACAACTATCGCAAGCTCCCTTGGCACGGCGGCGCGCGGCGCACCTTCACCAAGTACAAACACCACTGCCGAATCGGAGTTTCACGACGGCGGGGGCTTCCTCGCGCGCGCCCACAGCGAATGCCGGACGATGGTCGCAGTTCAGATCGACGGTTCGTTCGAGAAGCGCAAAGCAATCTTAGTCAGAGCAGTTACAGAAGCTGGCGCCGAACGCATCGCGGAGCACACCCCCAAGAGCAAGTCCTCGCAGGTCGAAAGGGAAGTATTGCGGCATGCGCCCTTTCCGTTGCCAAGCAACAGCAAACGCAGACCGATTACCCTTTTCGTGCCGTCGAAGACCTCGCTTGCCGCCGCTGTGAGACTGGTGGGAATGGTGGATGCAGAAGCTGCTGCCAGAGGCGGTCGCGAGCCCGATCCTGACCCCCACTGGCTCAACGCGCCCGCGCCCGTCGCCACGGGGAAGCTGGTCGAGTTCCTCGCGCCTTGGCTCCGTGAGGTCTGCACACTTGGTGACCGCGAGTTCAAAATCCGTTCCGAGTGGCAGCGACAAGGGGTCCACCAGAAGATTTCATATTCACCTCCAGGGACGCGAAGTTACAGGCGCCGTTTAAAGCCGCATAGCCTTTGCCAAGCTCAATAAGCAGATGGTGCATCTTGAAGATGCACAGCGTCTGCTGCCACCAACCACGCTTGCGCGCCGACCTTCGCTGCTCTGGACAGGGGCCCCCGACAAACAAGACATGCGTTCTTCGCCAAAAAAGTCCCACGGATGTCTCAAGAAAACGTTCCCGCGCAACGGTTGGAGATTCAATCGATAGAACAGGGAGGTGTCAGGGAGAAGCCAACCTGCGGCAGAACTGGAAGCTGGCAGGCCACCAGACTACAGGCCACAAATGTATTGAAATCGCATGGCCACATGGCCAAACGGGCAGTCAACCCAGCTGCGATCATGGACAAGGTCCCTGTCTGCAACATCCCTGGGGGCCTCGCCAGGCCACCCGCCGACGCCGACGTCGCACGGTGTCTCTCGCGAGGCCCTCGCACTCCGGCAAAGTATTCGCGCCCCTGCCGAGTAGACGCCCAATGCTGCTCGACGCCGCCGCGCGCGGCAGGGGGGGTGAAAATCCATGCGCCGAAGTTGGGCAAACACGTGAAGGGCGCCAAACCTACGGAAGCGGTTCCTGGCTGAACACTGCGCGCGAAGCTGACGACGCAGCGCGACGATGACAAGCAGTTCTAAGGCTTGGGTCTCGCCCCTCACAGCGCCCGCGATTCCGGCTTCCACGCGGAAGACCTTTGCGCCGTCGAATATCGGGCGCATGGCGACCAAGATTGTTGCCAGCTTGCGCCAGATAGCTCAGCAACCATCGCCATGGGCGGCATCGCCTCATCCGACGGGCCGATCATCCATCTCCTTTCGCCGATGATCGACCGCGACCCCTCGTGCAAAGACGCCTGCAACTGCGCGCTCGCGGACGGCGCCGCTCGCCGGCGGGGCGAGATCTTCGGGCAGTTCGCGAAGGTCCATGATGGCGCGCCCGCTCTCTGCGCGGCGGGGAGTGCAGCTCGCCCAGCGCCGGCCGCAACGGCCGCATTCTCGCCTCCACGCCAGCCTGTTGAGCAATTCAGCGGCATCGGCGCGCGCGCCTGCTCACCGACCCCAGCGACCAGTTCGACGAGGGCATCTCCGACCGCGCGCCCATCTGCACGGGGGTCGCCGCCTGCCGCCAGCACGCCCGCCGCAAAGAGCTCGCGCGCGAAGCTGCGCGCGCCGCCCGAGCCCACCTGCTGCAGCATCGCGCCCCCCACGCTCCGCGCGAGCTCATCATCTCCCGCTGCATGGCGAGAGCAGTTTGGAGGGGCGGCGCGCAGCCTGCTGTGGCTCCCCATGACAGACGCCATCCCGCTCGCGAACACCTCCGCGCACCTCGTGGACGAGTGGGCCAACCCAACGCAATTGCCCGTTGCCGAGCTGTTCGCCGCGCGCCAGCAATAATGCAGCGCCCAGCGCGGCGGCGTCAACCAACGTCGGATGAACCGCGCCGGCGAAGTCAAAGCTGCCCGTTTTCACCGCGCTTGGGAATCGGAGGCCCGCCGACCTCAGCTCGCTGCTTGCCCCAGCTAGTCGCCGCGTGATCCTCCAGTCCGTCGCCCGCAACGGCGGCGACCTCTGCGACCCGTTCGACATCCTCGCGCGCGCCCGCCATCGCAATGGCTACGCGCTGAGCCCGCGCGCGGCGACTTGCGCCAGATGCACCTCGCGGCGAAAGCCGCGGGCGCTGACCTCGCGGACGGCAGCGCCCCCGTCAAGCGCATCTTTGGGATGGTCATCAAGTCCGCGAGCCCCTCGGACCCAGGGGCGGACGAGTTCCCCTGCGCGGCGTGGATCTTTCTTGCGGCGCGCGCGTTCTGCTGGAAGTGCCGCGCGAACTGCGCCGGGAACGCCCGCCTCTCGCGGGCTTCAGAGTTGCCGCCCCGGCCCGGCCCCAAAGGGCGAGGGGGCGACGGGCGCCGCCCTGGCGCGGCGCGCAGTGGGCCAGCTGCGCCCTCTACGTGTCAATGGCACGGACTCCGAGGTCCTCGCCGCCACTTGCGACTTCGAGTTTCACGCCCCCGCGACCAAGAGCGTGCGGGGGTACCGTTTTGCCTCCTTCGCGGGCGCCAACTTACGGCCAACGCCGCGCACTTGGGCAGCACTATGGCAAGAGCGTTGAGCTGGCTCGCAGCCACCAGCCCGACAGAGCACGGCAATGCGATGATGTTCGCCCGCGACGTCGTCGCCGCCCTACCGTCGGTGGAAAAGAATTCGCCATGGAATGTCGCCAGTGCCTCTGGGCTCGAAGGCTGCCTCCTGAATCCGCTGAGGTCTTCTGCGACCCGCCGCGCACCTACGCCTCGCTCAAGGGTGGCCGGCGCTTCGCGCCCCCCGCGTCCGCGGGCATCGCGCAAAGTTGCCCGCTCAGGGGCGCGATCTGGCGCATCGCGCTCAGCCCATAGGGCTCCGTTTCGGGAAGGCTCAGACTGCGCCCACATTCATACCTCAACGTTTTTTTCCGGCGACATCGGCGTTCTTCCAGGCAAAGTGCGCGCCGCGTTCTGCAGCGCAGGGGTATTCGATGGTCTGCGCTTCAACTTTGACATGGGCGTCTGCGTGCCGCTGCGTGGCCATTTTTACACAAAAGAGATAATAGTTATATATATACATATATATCGTACGTATATATACATAATATAGATATACACATTATCAGATCGACAAGTTCCAGACTTGGCCCTGCAAAATCCAGAAGGAGTGGGCCAGGCTCACCGTCGCCGGCAGCGCCGAGCACCTGGGGGCAATGCTCGGCCCCGCGAGCACGGAGGACAACTGGCCCTCAAACTCGAGGGGTTTGGGTCGTCGAGCTCGCCAGCGGTGGCGCCCCTTCCTCGTCTTCGTTGCACGCGCGCAGGCTCCGCGCCCAGCTACGTCGCCCAGTCCGCTGCCATCTTCTGCGCCAACTTTTTCAGGGGCGCCAGGCACTGGGCGGCCCAGAAGACGCGTCAAGGGTAACCGAACTCTGCTGTTCTAGCTGGTCGCACCTGAGCGTCCCCCCGATGGAGCTGATGGGCGCGTAATCTCTCGTGCGAGTGGCGTTGGGGACTGTGTCGCGTTGGCGAGGCTGGCTCCAACATCTCCGCGGTGCCGCTGATCGCGAAGGAGGACTGGCAGCTCTGCCGATTGCAGCCAAAGGCGGGCCATCCTCGGTCTGGAAGTCCACCGCCTGCCTACACATCAAGCCCACGAGCCCGATCGCCGCGCAAGCCCCGATCGCCGCGCAAGCCGTAGTCGAGCTGGGGAAGGCGCGCCGCGCAGCGGCGGCGGCAGCGAGCGGGATGGGGGGGCCGCCAACCGTGTCCGAGCGCAGCGTGCGATTGATCGTGGCACGCGTCTTCTCCTCTTCCCAGGTATTTTCGTCCTCTCACACGCGCCCGTCAGAATGGGCGTCGCGACCGGGGTCCAGGGCTGCTTAGATTTCGAGAATGTTTGGAGGGCGCTCAGAGAAAAGCTTGCCCCGTCCCCTCCAGCAGTTCAGGGCGCAGAAATCAAAACACTTTCCGGAGCGTAGGCCACCTCGAACAGACTTCCGAAACTCCCGCGGCCCTGTGTTTGTCGGCTGCCCCGAGCAGCTGGACGAGCACAGCCGACGCTACAACTGCGGCCCGATCTGGGAGCCGATTTCTCCGCCAGGCCCGGGCCCGCTGCTCGCTGCGCCCTTGACTTCTCGTCTCTAATTTCGGCCTGCCAGGCTCAATCGCGACGCGATCGCGCAGATCGCGCTTCCGTGCCACGCCTAAAAGTACGGCCGCGATCACCGCAACAGGAGGCGCGGAACCGTAGGCGACGCTTGCACGGACCGCGCAGTTCTCAGGTCCGCGCGGATGCAGCTAGCGCTCGACGCGCCCCGCGCCAGATGCGCAGACGCGTGGCCGCGGCCCCCGTGCCCAGGCCATGTCGAGCAGGAGTTGGGCCTTTGACGGTCGCATCCGGGGCTCGATGCCCTCCCGTGACCACTTTCCGTGCGTTTCTCTCCTCCTCCTCCTCCTCCTCCTCCTCCTCCTCCTCCTCCTCCTCCTCCTCCTCCCCTTCTTCCTCCTCCTTTTGCCTCACCCCCTCCCACGTCTTCCCCATTCCTCGTCTTGCCCCCTCATCCAGTACCGTCTCGTGGCTGTCCTGCGCCTTCTGGCCCTCTTCCCCCTGCTCATCCTCCTCATCATCCTCGTGCCCTTCCCCCTCCTCGTTCTGCCCCCCGCCCTTCCCCTCCCCATTGGCAAGCCGAGGTCGTCGGCACCTGGATGCTATTCCATTTGAACTCGCAGTGCTTTGGCTGTGGTAGACTGTCGCTGCGCCCGGAATGACGGCGGTTGCCGTGCTGATGGTGGTAATGATCATGCTTGCCATGATGTAGTGGTACGCATGATGATGATGATGGTGATGCTGATGATGTTGATGCTGATGATGACGATGATGATGACGATGACGATGACGATGATGATGATGATGATGATGATGATGATGACGATGATGATGACGATGATGATGGCTGTGATGGTTGTGCTGATGGTGGTCATGGCGATGATGTTGGTCATGACTATGACGGTGATGTTGGCAATGATGGTTGTAACAACGACCATGTTCATGATGGTGGTGGTGGTGAAGGCGATGGTGGTGGTGCTGGTGCTGGTGTTGGCGATGATGTGTATTATGGTGGGGCAAGACGAGTGGGAGAGAGCAGGGAGGAGGACGAGGGATGACGAGGAGGGAAGGTGGAGTTGGGGAGCACAAGACTTTTGATAATTGGTGATGTAGAATTCGGGAGGATTTTGAGGAGGAGGAAGAGGAGGACGAGGAGGACAACGTGGCGTGAGGAGGATGGATTCGGAGATGGAGCGCTGACAAGCGTGATGATGCGAATGGCTAGGGTTGAAAGGGGGAGGAAGGACGGCAAAACTAAGTGGATGATAGCGAGGATGATGATGATGATGATGCTGATGATGATGATGATGATGATGAGGATGATGATGATGATGCTGATGATGATGACGATGAGGTGGAGGAGGACGAGGAGGAAAATGGGGAGGAGAAGTAAGATGAGGAAGAGGAACATGAGGAGTGAATAGGAGGTGGGGGGGAGGGGGGCAGCGACAGAGAGGAGGTGGAGGAGATGGAGGAAGAGGAGGAGGATGGGAGAAAGAGTACTGGTTACCTGAGTGAGCAGTCGAGAGAGCAGGCATGACGATGATGAGGAGGCGGTGGGCGAGGAGGGGGATGAGTATAATAAGAGGAGGCTACAGATGACGAGGACAAGGCTAAACATTTAGAAACATAACGGGAAGAAAAGGAGGGAGAGGAGTAGGAGGAGTGAATGAGCAGGAGGAAAAGGAGGAGAGGATAATGAAACCGAGAAGGAAAAAGGTTAGGGGGGGAGGAGGATGAGGAGGAGGAGGAGGAGAAGGAGGAGGGGTACGAGGAGGAGGAGGAGAAGGAGGAGGAGAGGCAGGATGATGAAACAGAGAAGGAGGGACAGAGAGCGAGAGAGAGGGGGGGGAGGAGGAGGAGCACGAGGAGGAGGAAGAGGAGGGAGGAGGAGGAGGAGGAGGGGGAGGAGGGGGAGGAGGGGGAGGAGGAGGAACCGCCTGATGAGGACAAGCCTCAGGAGGCGCCTGGGCCGAGGAGGGGCACGTTCTGGGGGGGGCCGCGGCGGCTGCCCGGGCGGCCAGAAGAAGGCGCTCCCGGGTCGGCGAGGGCGAGGGTCGCGCGGGAGGGCCCTGCAGCCTCGAGCCTCGAGCCTCGAGCCCCGTCGCTCCCGAGAGGCGACGGAGGAGAGGCAGGGGCAGCGGGAGGCAAGGAGAGGAGGAGGAGGAGGAGGGGGAGGAGGAGGAGGAGGAGGAGGAGGAGGAAACAGAGAGATCGATACTGCTTCTCTTCATGGAGGGCCCTCGTCCCCACGGCTGGGTTCTGCTAAAACGACGCGAAGATCGGGGCAAAATCGGATCGGGATAACTCGAAATCTCTGAGAATCGGCGGGTTTGGAGGATGTATTGGGCGCCGCGGCCGCTCCAGAGCGTTCCGGAACGCTCTGAGAGCGCCCCGGAACGCTCTGGAGCGATTTATGCCGATCCTATCCCTGTTTTACCTCGTCCCCACGGCTGGGTTCTGCTCAGAATTTGGCCAGAACGCACCCGCGGTGTGCGTCAGTAACCGGATACCGCGGGCAACAAACCATGCCCCCCTTCTCCCCCCCCCCTGAGAGTTGACTATCACCGGCCAAAATAGAGTCGGTCGGGGAAAAGGGGCGGCAAGTCCGAACTTCACCATCGCGGGGAGAGTTACGTTTCGAAGTTGTTATCTTCTTGTGCTGGGAGGCAAGATCATCACGAGCGTGTGGCAAGGCTATGGGATTCTCTTTATTGCAGCTTTCGCCAGACACGGGCGTGTGGCAGGGATATATATATATATATATATATATATATACATATGTATATATATAAACATATACATATATATACAGACATATGAGGTTCTCACCCTTTCAACTGTCCCAAGTCACGCACGTGTGGCAGGGCTACACTGGACTCTTTACGATTATGGCTACTACGATTACTGCTTCTGTTTCTGCTACTACTACCACTACTACTACTACTACTACTTTTACTACTACTTCTACTTCTACTTCTACTACTACTACTACTAGTACTACTACTACTACTACTACTACTACTACTACTACTGCTACTACTACTACTACTACTACCACTATTACTACTACTACTACTACTACTACTACTACTACTACTACTACTACGACTACGACTGTTACTTTTCTACGACTACTACCACTATGTCTTCTATTAGTACAGGCACAGCTACTATTAAATCTACTCTTAGACTTCTGCAGGCACTCTTGTTTCCATTTCTGTTGCGACCACTTTTGCTCCGACGATTACATCTACTACGACTACTACTACTACTACTACTACTACTACAATCACTACTGCTACTACTCATACTATTACCCGTATTACTACTACAATTTCAACTACCACTACTACTACTACTACTACTACTACCACCACGACTACTACTACTACTACTACTACTACTACTTCTACTTCGACTACTACTATTACTACTACTATTACTACTACTACTACTACTACTACTACTACTATTACTATTACTTTTGCGACGAATCTTCAGTTTTGTATTACTACTACTACTACTACTAGTATTTCTCCTACTACTACTACTACTACTACTACCACCATGACTACGGCTACTGTGCCTGCTTCTTCTACTACTACTACTACTACGACGACGATTACTACTACTACTACCAACACTACGACTACGACTACGACTATTGCGACTACCCGTTCTACTTTTACTACTGTTATTATTGCTACTACTACTACTACTACTACTACTACTACTACTACTACTTCCACTGCCACTACGACTGCTACGACTACCACTACTGCTAGTTCCACGACTGCACCCTATATCACGGTTACTACCACTACTATTACTACTACTAGTACTACGTCCACTATTACAACGATTATGTTTATGAGTATTGTTACGAAGACAACTGCAACAACTCTCACTATCACTAGGACAACTACTACTACTACGACTATTGCTCCCAACTGCTACGACCACGGCTACCATTTCTTGAATACTACAACTATGTTTGTTACAACCACGGCTGCTACGACTTCCAGTACTACAACGACTACTCCTACTACTATTGTTACTACGGCTACTACTATTACTACTACTACTACTACTACTACTACTACTGCTATTATTACTACTACTACTACTACTACTACTACTACTACGACTACTTCTACTGCGACCCCTGCAACGATTACTATGTCTACCACAACTATTTTCACAACTCTTGCCGCTGATTCTACCATCGCTATGATTACGAATAATTGTAGCTGTTACGATTAAGCCGGCTTGCATTTGCAGTGCAATTACGTTTGTTACGGCGAGCACCATTACGATGTATATCCACGGTTTCTAGCAGCGTTGCTAGTATTGTTCATGTCCAATGCCACGACTAGTACAACTAACACGAATACTATCATCACTACTACTACTACCACTAGTACTAGTACTACTACTACAACTACTACTACTACTTTTACTACTACTACTACTACTACTACTACTACTACTACGACTACCACTACCACTACCACTACTACTACTACTACTACCGCTACTATTATTACTACTACTACCATTCACCATTCCATTTCGACGACTTGTACTATTTCATCTAGTACGACTACCACCAGTACTAGTATTATTACCTTTGCTACTGATCGGACTACTCCTCTTTAGGACTAAGACGAATACCACGACTCTTCTACGACCATCAGTATTACGACTACTACGGCTACCCTTACCGTTATTCGGATCACGAGTAGTACTGGTACTACGGCCACCACTACAGCTATGTCTATTACGACTACCATTACCTTTAGTACTACCGCTGTTGCTTGTAATACGACGTAACAGTAATCAACGATTACAGATATTACCCGTACGGCTTGCGCTTGCACTGGAACTACCTTGCTTACAGCGACGACTACTACTGTTACAGCGACTTGTGTTGCGACCCCCACACTGTACATTTTTTCGAGTACGACGGACGACCGCGACTACAACCGCTACTGCTACTACTACTACTACTACTACTACTACTACTACTATTACTGCTACTACTTATTACTACTATCACTACTACCACCACTACTATTATTATTTCTACTACTACTACTACTACTACTACTACTACTACTACGACTACTACTACTACTACTACTACTACTACTACGATTACTATTTCTATTATTAATACGACTACTACTACTACTACTACTACCACTACTACTACTACTACCATCATTACTGCTACTACTACTACTACTACAGCTACTATTACTTCTACGACTACTTATATTATTGTTCCTATTTCTATGACTAATGCGAGAACCGCTGCTACCACTACTACTACTACTACTACTACTACTACTACTACTACTACTACTGCTACTGCTACTGCTACTGCTACTACTCCCGCTACTGGAACTACTACAACTACCACTTCTACTAGTCCCACTACTACGACTACTACTGCTACTACCATTATTACGACCGCTACTACCACGGCTACGACTACTATCGATAATTTCGGTACTACAACTCCTACTTATACGACTGGAACTAGTATTAGTGACGCTACTACTGCTACCACAACAAC